CCCCCCCCAACTAATTCAGAACGCAGATAGTGAATGCAACAAATGTGGCTGCTCAGAAGATCTGATAAGTTGCTATGGGTTATAGCATTATGATTGACTTTTCATGGCTTGTCACATAGATTTATCTCAGTCCTTTAGGGAAACAACAGTTTAAACAATAACATGCTGCCCTAACTGGATCCATCATTAACAAAACAAAAAAAAAATAACTTCACGTGGATCTAGCAACATTACCAAAACAAATTATATTATCTTGCTGTTAATTAAACTGCTATGTTGCATGACCTCAAGCCTAGACAGCCAAAACCCTATGGCCTATGGCTACCAGTTAGCATAGTGTGTCATCTCACTTGAGACTGCTGTGAGCCTACAATTTTTCAGTCAGACTTTGTGTGCCAGACTTGAAGTGAGATGTGAGCATGTAGAGGTACAACCAAGCAGGGGAGGCCATACATTAAATAAACATATAGCCATGTCTTAGGACATACGCAAGCAAAAAATGTATGCATTGATGATCGATATAAATAGTCATTGCTATCATAAGTATGCCTGGCATTCCATTTAAACAAAAAACAGCTAAATACACGGAAGTACATATATAGGAAATTATTTGTAATTACATGCAGACACTCTTATTCCAGGCAGTCCTGCCATACACAGTCAGATTCTCAACTTTGCACACAGCAGAAACACGTTTTGGTCAAGGACATTGGGTCAAAATTAAACCCAATAAATACATATTTATTGATGTATTTAATGAATCAATAACTGTATTAATCTGTGGTTTTTAATATCTGCCCAAATTCAGCTTTAACAAGGTTTGAAATGTCACTCCCCAACCCACCCGTTACCATTTTAAGCAGCTCTGTAAATAGCAATACTAGCAACCAGTCCCTATGCCTCAATGCTGCAGCATACTCGAGTCTGTACAACAGACGTCTGTGTCCATCTAAGTAGAGGCCAAGGAGTGGCCTTTAAGATATAGGTGAACAAAAGAGCACGTGCAAAAAAACAAAACACATCTATCCACTTGTTCATACTATTTGGTCCTTGTATTCACCTCTGGACTATAACTCTTCCTACACTTTCATCACCCATGTGATATATGCTATCCATATTATTATTCTGGATATCTAGCTCTTATGTTCAGGTTTGCAGGTTTAGTTTGAGGATTCTCTTTACTGGCTCTCGCCATTTCAATTTTTGTTTTGTAACGTTTGGTGGGGCACAGCCATTCTACGGCATTTAAGTAAATGATGTGACTTCTGAGGAACAGTTGGTAAGAGTAGGGAGTTACTTCGGACACCATGATTTATGCATGATTGCATCTTAGAACCCATACATTTGCTACATTAGGACCTAATTCAGAATACAGTCATGTTTAAAATGCTATATGATATTTCTGCATTGGTTGCCCTACGGTCAACTAATAGGAGACATTTAAAAAATAAAAAAAAATTAGATTATATATATATATCTAGGTGTGGCTAATGCTTCAACAGGGTTGGATGCCTACCTTGAATAAATATTCCTCCAATCATGACAGGGATCAGTTTGCAACATTTGAAAATAACCTGAGTAGGATAATTCAAATACCCCAGAGAAGTATTTGAAAGGCCCATTGTACCCACAGTGAGGAATGCTATCATCATGTACGTTTTTGCAGGTATTCTGAAAAATCAAAGAAAGATAAAACATTCAAAAACATTATAATGTTTATACCATAATATATCATCCTGGTGAATGTTTTCACAGTTTCTAATAGTAATGCTTGCATTTATGTGTCATTAATGACTGTTCCAATAAGGTGCTCATACAATATACCAAATTGCACAGTAATTATTTTTACAATAGTAAATTAAAAGATATTTGTACAGGTTTAATATATGAAATGAAAAAATACATAAAGAACGAGAATAATAATAAGCCTGCACTACATGCTTGCTATTACCATGACAGGAGACCTGTACTCAGACTTGTCAACTTCTTTTGGAGATGCTCATTTACTGGCTGGTCACACTGATCCAATGTATTATATACTTTCTCATTTACTGGCTTGGAATTAGTATGCAGATTAAAACTTTTGACTTCCTTTTTGCATACTTGTTTTGGGTCTGTAACTTAAGGTTTTGAAGCCAGTCAGCTAGCAATTTAAGATGAAGCTCAGCCATATTAGACCCCATATTTCTGTCAGTGTAGGTTTATTCCCCACATATGATTTCAGTCCTAGCGCTAGGGGAGCTTAGTCATCTATTGTTTTCTTAAATCTCTTTAGTAGTCCAGTAGTGAACTTTTCATGCCACAGTCTTGGTTCTGCTCCAGCCCATCTTTTGATATTCCCACATTTCTGCAATATTTGATATATAGATATAATTAAAAGGAGAACTATGGGATGAGTCAAATACACTCATCCCCATAGTTAGAGCTGTGTGTGAAACTGAAGTTGTCACACGTCGACTGTACTGATTGAGAACTGAATGATCACAAAGCGCTGATCGCTCAGTTCACGATCTTCTCCCTGCAGAGAGCAGCGACTGTCAGTCATCACTACTGTGCTCATTGGAGGGACAGACAGCGGAGGGGGCAGCCACAGCTGGCTCTGGCCCTAGAGAAAAGGAGCCAGCAATCAATCAGGCAGCGGGCTGGATCCAGACAATATTGTCGGGAACTTTCCTGGCTGTATCGCAGCTCTGCGCTTTCAGCATATAGTGGGCAGTAGCCTGCTATATGCTGAGTTGTGGGTCACAGGAGGGCATTAGTAAATGTCCTCTTGTGACCCTAAAGAAAACTGTGGCCAAAAAACATTTGGTCATAGTTCTCTTAAGAACCCAACAGGAACATGGGCCCTCTTTGTACAGGCTACAGCTGGTGTGTAGTTCTGAAATGTAAGCACAGGAATCTTACTGGAATCCCTAAAATATTTATATGATATCAAATTACATGAACTTGACCTGACTTCTTTTTAATGGGTATCAATAATGTGTTTGCTTATCATTAAATTAGGAATCTCAGTTCCCACTTGATAATAAATCAGTTAACAACGTTGCTTTTGGGTCTCTCTCCTTTTCCAGAGTTCACTCAGGGCCTATTCATACTATCTTGTGCTGTGGCAATGTTTTATCATGCATTGTGGTGCACTGCATTCCCATACCCCTTTCATTTTGAGTGGAACAAAGAAACAGAGAAATTGCTCCTTCTTATTTTTTTCACAGCACTGTGCACTGTGGAAATAAAAAGAAAAGAAACACATAATACAACGTAGTCAGAAGTTTCACATAGGACGCTGGGTTATAACAAGCTAAAATCTAAAGCAGGTCATTAGATTATTAGTTTATCTGTCAAATCCTGCATTCAAAATGCAAACTGCAGACATGGGTACTTTAGATTTAATATTTACCAGAATCAATTCTGTCTGTACGGTGCTGGAAGATTTAATTATCAGTTATAAGCAACATTTCAACTAGGGCTGCATCCAATTAAATCAATAATAATCGATGAGAATAGTTGTCAACTATTCTCATTATCGATTAGTTGGTTGGATACCCTAGCTCGCTCCTCCATGCAGGGAGGAGAGCACAGCAAGCAGTGGGCGGCTGCAATAGCCAGCCTGCTATTGCAATTTGAAATGGCCATTAGCAGGCTGGCTATTGCACCAGCCCACTACCTGCTGTATTTACATTAAGCTGCCGTCTGCGGAATCTTGCCACTGACAGCTATCATTTCCTGGCTGAAGCTATTCAATTGCCATGTGCTTACAATACATTAAAAATAAAATAATTACAAATACATTTATAAAAAGGTGGGGGGGGGGGGGGGGGGTGTTTTTTCGGTTTTGG